GTGTCATAACTACTGATTATGAGAAGGGAGACACGTATGGTGTTGGACGTCATACCTTCAGGCTGTTTTGTACGGAAGCGTAGTAGGGCCGAGGTGAAAATCTTTTTTGTCTAAGTATCTCCTACGTAGGACTTATTATCTCCTACGTAGGAGATAGTGATTTTAGGACATACTAAGTCCTACGTAAGAGATAGTAAGTCCTAGGACTTACTAAGTCCTACGTAGGAGATAGTAAGTCAAACGTAGGAGATACTAAGTCCTACGTCGGGGATAGTAATTCTAGACCATACTAAGTCCTACGTAGGAGATAGTAAGTCCTACGTAGGAAATACGTAGACAAAAGATATTTTCACCGTTGCCCCACTACGCTTCCGTAGTTTTGACATTTTGAGCAAATGTTTTGGTACTTTTATATTTCATTACATTACCTTTTTCCTTGACAACTTGAATCATCCTTGGCGTGATGAGCATATCAAATTTTGTTAAGTGTCCATGGTTGGTACGTTGTTTAACGCCGCACTCAGTAATATTCCAGCTATATGACGGCGGTCTGTAAATAATCGAGTCTGGGCGAGACAATCTAGTGCTTGACATCATGAGCATCGATCAATGCAATTGGAATCGTCGACCTGCGTCAACCAAATCAGCAAGCCTGACCACACGATCCCGTTAGTCGCCTTTTACGACAAGCACAGTCGCCTTTAACGGCAAGCATGGGTTGCTGAAGACCTATTCTACCCCGGATCTTCACGCCAGGAAATAATCCACCAAGAGTATCTGCCGAAACAGATTCCATTGGGCGTAAAACGGGAAATAATGACGAAAAATATATGAATGGATCACTAAAAATTAGTAATGACAACATGTGCTGCGAAAAGGGGTTAGCATGCACTGCTCTACCGGTAGCAGCCGCCACTCAGATTATTTTCATAAAAAGTAAGCGTTTGTTAGTAACGCTTCATCCAGCAATATCCAGCATACATACAGAGATTTGTAAAACCGTTGTTAAATCAAATCTATATTTGATTATAAATTAATCACATCGCTAGGTTGGTTTGTTGTTTAGCGTCGCACTCAGCTTTATTCAAGCTATATAACGGCGGTTTGTAAATAATGGAGTTTGGACCAGACAATCCAGTGATTAATATCATGCGTATCGATCCACGCATATGATGATAGATAACATGTAACTAACAAGCATTTTTGTCCAAATCAAAAAAGAATAAAATAAGAAATTTAAACCTTTCACCTTTAATTTTCTTACATAAACTGTCCGTCTATTATTGGATTCTGGAGACAGAAATGGATTCACCATTTTGCTTTTAATGCTTGACATTTACAAATAAACTATACATTATCACATATCTTTCTCCACCTGACATCTACTTTTCAAGTGATAAGCTATTGATTTCCTCTGAATGTAATATGTCTGTGAAGGGCTTCTTTGGACAAAGTCATACACAGTACCAATCTAAGATGATCCACAGTTCCGTCAAGAGCTCAGTAGACAAGTATAATTAGATCGGTAGTAAGAGGTGCAGCGATTCCAACAGAGGTGTCCTGAGGGGAATAGTAAACAGGCATCAGACCTAGACATGAAATATTGTTAAAACATACCCTATGCAGACGGACTGTTTGAAACTCTTTCAAATGGCCTGTCGCATTGTTTGAGATTCTATCATTGGTTACAGGACAGTACAAGAAAACATTGATGCAGAGCATCAAATTTCCCCGCCATATGTGATGCCTCACAAACGCATAATTATGATGTAACTGAAAAGGAGTATAAGTATATTAACCACAAATAAAACAACATTGTTGTGGAATTTTTATTTTATTTTGAGTATTGGGCAATACAGTTGATACATGTGCATAGTGAAGGTAGGTCTATTTGATAACAGTTTTCTTGTTAAACACGCACTCTGGTGGACTGTAAATAATCAAGTCTGGACCAGACAATCCAGCAATTGACATCAAGAGCATCAAACTACGCAATTGGAATATGATCTCATGCATCAACCAAATCAGCTAGGCTGACTACCCAATCCTGTTCATCGCCTCTTACAGGAAGTATGGGTTGCTGAAGATCTATTCTAACCTGGGTCTTTATAAAAAAAAGTAGATCAAAGGAAATGGAAGGAATTTCTGGCACAAATGTAAACATGTGGGAATGATATCAAAACTGCCAACAATATTGGCAGATTCACATACTCAAATAATAGATCACATTCTTTTTACACTTGGCAAAATGGAACATTTGGTTATAATAATGTAAATGAAAATACAAAAGTCATACTAGATGAGGTCTTTTGGGCATAACCGCAGATAAACATACTCAAAATATTATCACATAGGTTTTTGCACTTGGCAAAATGAGGCATTTGGTTTGAATACTCTTAATGCAGGTAATACAAAGGCAGTTATTTTTGGCACAAAAATATACATTTAGAAAAACATCGAAAAACCTACAATATTGTCAGTTGCATTAAATGGAATGATATGACTTTGTTTTCTGGCCCATGGCAGCCCAAATAAGGGCTCCATTGGCATATGGCAACTGTTAGAACAATGTATGTTGTACAAAAGGAAAACACTTTTTAAAAAAACAAACCAAAAAAAACCCCCAAAACAGTGAACATGTGGAAAGGTATGAAAAACAATCTACATTAATGGCAGATGCATATAACCAAGTAATAAAATAACCTGGTCTTTGCACTTAATTATGCATTTTGTCATATCATACGTGAATATAATGAAGCTTGAGCACATGATATGGAAGTTGTAGTGTAAAAAGTAAATGGCACATGCTTAATGAAATGAAATGGTATAATCATATCAAAATAATAAAACAACCTGGTCTTTACAAAAAGTTATGCATTTTGTCATAACATACGTGAATACAACTGTATAATGAAACTTTAGCACATGATATGGAAGTTGTAGTGTAAAAAAGTAAATGGCACATGCTTAATGAAATGAAATGGTATGGTATAATCATAGATGTCATAAAACTGGCAACATAAGGATTTGAGTCACAATATGCTGTAGCTGTCATTTATTTTGAGTATTGGGCAATACAGTTGATACATGTGCACAGTGTAGGTAGGTCTTTTTGATAACAGGTTTCTTGTTAAACACGCACTCAGCATTATTCCAGCTATTGACGGTGGACTGTAAATAATCAAGTCTGGACCAGACAATCCAGTGATTGACATCAAGAGCATCAAACTACGCAATTGGAATATGATGTCATGCATCAACCAAATCAGCTAGGCTGACTACCCAATCCTGTTCGTCGCCTCTTACAGCAAGTATGGGTTGCTGTAGATCTATTCTAACCTGGGTCTTTATTAAAAAAAGAAACGGAAGGAATTTCTAGCACAAATGTAAACATGTGGAAATGATATCAAAACTGCCAACAATATTGGCAGATTCACATACTCAAATAATAGATCACATTCTTTTTACACTTGGCAAAATGGAACATTTGGTTATTATAATGTAAATGAAAATACAAAGGGCTTCATATGGCAAAAAGTCATTCTAGATGAGGTCTTTTGGGCATAACCGCAGATAAACATACTCAAAATATTATCACATAGTTTTTTGCACTTGGCAAAATGAGGCATTGGGTTTAAATACTGTAAATGCAGGTGATACAATGGCAGTTATTTTTGGCACAAAAATATACATTTAGAAAAACATCGAAAAACCTACAATATTGTCAGTTGCATTAAATGGAATGATATGACTTTGTTTTCTGGCCCATGGCAGCCCAAATAAGGGCTCCTTTGGCATATGGCAACTGTTAGAACAATGTATGTTGTACAAAAGGAAAACACTTTTTAAAAAAACAAACCAAAAAAAAACCCCAAAACAGTGAACATGTGGAAAGGTATGAAAAACAATCTACATTAATGGCAGATGCATATAACCAAGTAATAAAATAACCTGGTCTTTGCACATAATTATGCATTTTGTCATATCATACGTGAATATAATGAAGCTTGAGCACATGAGTGAGTTAGTATGGTTTTACGCTGCTTTTACCAATATTTCAGCAATATCACGCCGGGGGGACACCAGAAATGGGCTTCACACATTGTACCCATGTCGGGAATCGAACCCGGGTCTTCGGTGTGACGAGCAAATGCTTTAACCACTAGGCAACCCGACCGCCCCCTTGAGCACATAATATAAAAGTTGTAGTGTAAAAAAGTAAATGGCACATGCTTAATGAAATGAAATGACTCATACATGTCATAAAACTGGCAACATAAGGATTGAGTCACAATATGCTGTAGCTTTCCAAAACAACATATGATAATGACACATGCTTAATGAAATGAAATGTTATACTCATACATGTCATAAAACTGGCAACATAAGGATTGAGTCACAATATGCTGTAGCTTTCAAAAACAACCTATGTTAATGACACATGCTTAATGAAATGAAATGTTATGGTATAACGGTACTCATACTTGTCATAAAATTAGCAACATAAAGATTTGAGTCACAATATGCTGTAGCTTTCCAAAACAACCTATGATAATGATACATGCTTAATGAAATTGTATGTTATACTCATACATGTCATAAAACTGGCAACATAAAGATTTGAGGCACAATATGCTGTAGCTGTCAAAAACAACCTATGTTAATGACACTTGCTTAATGAAATGAAATGTTATGGTATACGCATACATGTCATAAAACTGGCAACATAAAGATTTGAGTCACAATATGCTGTAGCTGTCAAAAACAACCTATGTTAATGACACATGCTTAATGAAATGAAATGTTATAGTATACGCATACATGTCATAAAACTGGCAACATAAGGATTTGAATCACAATATGCTGTAGCTTTCAAAAACAGCTTACAAACATGGCAGATGTCTAAATAAATGAAGTGGTATTATCATACGTTGTAAAAATGACAACATATGCTTTTGAGTCTGAAGCTTTCAAAAACAGTTGACAGATAAGAACTGTATTTAGATTGACACATTCTGGAATGTTCCTTTTTGGATCACACAGGAAAATGTTAGTGGCAATTTGTTTGCTATTTGCTCCACAAGACTTTCCTCAGAATCCAAATTGCATGTTTCACCAATTAATTTTTCTAGGTCTTCTTGAAAGATTGAAAATTTGGACGGCTGTTCATTATGTTTGTACATCAGGGACATGAAGCATGTCTTTGAGGGTGTATCCTTGTCTTCCAACTGACAAGTTGGGCATTTCTGACTGACCAATTTTTTCTTTCTGCATTCTGAAAAAGAATTAAAATTTGTTATATAAAAATCTGGTGTTTGTATATGGAATGGTCAGTATGTATTCAATTTTCATACAATATTTTCTGAGTTGGGTTAATAAAGCCAAGGCTTAAAACTAAAATATTTTAAAAATTATATATATCATAAAAAGTGGAGCATAAACATACTATGTGATTAATGAAAGATTATGTAAATGAGTAATTACTTTGGTTGCGACAACATTCATAAACTGAAACACTCAGGAATTCGGTGATGGACACTCCTGGTTTTAGTCCAGGTGCAGCAGCAGTTTGGAAATCAGGATCATCAAGTTTGTCCTCCGGGTTAACTTGTATGTTGGCAGCGTCTGGGAGAAACTGTACAAAAATATGAAGGATTAAAATACAAGTGACTCAGTGGAGTGACAGAAATATTGCAGGTGATGATATTTAAAGAAACATACACATTATGTTATATTTGTTTAATTTCTTCATTTAGCTTATAAGATAGATGAGGTCTGATGTGTAGATGGGAACAATTTGGTCCCTTTGACAGTATTTCTTTTATAACACTGTGTCGGCTTAATGTTGAAGGAAATTACATTTACCATTTAGGTGAAACCCATGGGCATACCTAGAAAACGTAACTAGGGCAAACCAGGTTTCATACCTACAACGATTGGTTCCTGGTGTGGCGAAGGCAATAGCGATAGATTAGACGGCTGGAACATTCGTGCACCTGTAAATACATAGAATACTTGTTTACCTGACAATCAGTGGTGACAGTAGTCGTTAACTGGTTTCAGCCTTGGTATGTTGACTTATACAGCCCAGTAAGCTGTACTGTGTCGGATGGACTAAAAGTCATCTCGGCGTTCCTCTCGAACAGACAGACCTTGACTGTGCTGGTGGAATCTTTGACGCTTAGGCAGCGAATAGGAAGTGCACTATCTCGGGCATACTTCGGTGGGGAAATCTAGGGAAAAATGTAGAAGAGATACATCAACTTTTATCAATATATTATACATATGAACAAAGTATGACACATGAGCTGGTTCAATTTAAAATGTCTGCACCAACATCAAGTAACTTGATGTTCAAGGGGTTTTTTGTTTATTTTTTAAGGCAGCTGCTCAGTTACACTACAATACCATTAAGAATGCAGAATGCCAAATGTGTATTACCTGTACAACTTTTCCAGTGATAGCACTCCTGCCAGCAGTCTGGAGTGCCTCAGATATTGTTGATGGGGTTCCCGTTGTAGGAACATCCTCTGGCAGCAAATGCATTTCATCTCTGAGATGATCTGGCACAGTAATTGGTGCTGTGAATGTTATTGGGCAATTAGAATTGACGATGAGAGTCCCTTCTCTTTTCGTCACTTTGACAAATTTGTAGGTCTTACCAATGAATATGGTAGAAAATTTGTGGCACTGATATATTCGGAAGACTTTGACTTCCTTCTCCGTAGCGCCGATCACATTAAAAAAGGTGTAAGTTTTGCCTCCTTTGCTGAGCTTTTGAACAGACTTAGACTTGTTCAAGATCTTTGCTACGACATCTTCTTGCGGTGATGCAGCCTAGGCAAAACGGATAACATAAGTGGTTTGTCGGAGAAATTTAACATCATTACAATGCAACATTTTGTTTCTTTTTACCATCATACATGATATAATTATATGTATTATATATTAATCTTGATCGAAGGCAAGAATGTACTTAAGTTGTCTTATGAATATAAATTGGGAATCAAATGGACATTGATTTTGCTTATGCATGCACAGCACCAATTCCACTGACATCAATAAGCAGTTGCAGAGTGACAATTAGTATTTGAAAAAATGCACTAAACTATGATTTTGATAGAATCATAGGTCATACTGTTCAAACAACCAGTCGTATAATAAATATGAAAAAATTCCAGATGGAAATAAAAATATGTACATAAGTTCAAACATGTTAAAACAATGACAATACTAAAATGTTACATGTTACAAGTGAAAACGTATTGAAAAATATTTACATTGATTGATTTATGTGTCACTTGGTTTATGTCGTAGACGATCATATTCTTCAAGGACATCCTCAAATGGTTGAATTACCTTTGGATCAAAAGACAAAAGTGCCAAACCATTGATGTTTTTGACTCTACTGAGTGCAACATATGCCATGCCATTTTGGAAAATACTAGGGCCTAAATCTACAAGTGCACAATTTTAAAGATAAACCTTGAACTTTATGAATTGTACATGCAAATGCTAGCACAAGAGGAAATTGCCTTCTTATTATTCGTCTCCCTTTGAAAATAAATTCATGTTCAACTGACTCAATAGGAATTGCATTTTGCCTGTGAGGTACACGAAGAATACTCCCTATAGTTGCATCATCAAATAGAACATTGATTGTACTCATAATTCCATTTATGTCAAATTCTACAGAGTCAACAACTCCCATTGCTCCATTGACTAGACCTTGATTCGTATGCATATTTTTCATCAACATTACACGTGTATATTTTGAAATTTTCAATGTTCTCTCCAAGCCACCAGCTAACCTATCATCTGGTATCATTTCAAGAGGAACTGATTCAAATGGCGACAATGTATCATCACCAGAAAAATAATGTTCCGCTACACTTGTATATGTCACACACTGAAGGTTATTTTGACATTTTTTATTGTAGATTTTAACACTTTTTCTGAGTGGATAAAAGTGCAAGGCTGACTGGAATTCTGGCAAATGAGCATGATTGAGTCGTGATTTAAGTAAGTCAATATCATCAGCGGTCAACACACCGACACGTGCTCGGTTCAGTAGTAAAGCATATTCTTTATCAGATGACTGTCTCATATTTTCCTTGAGAAATATTGGTTTGAATAGTTGCCATAAGATTGTATTATGAAAAACAAATCTATTAAGAACAGGCCGTATTTGAAAGAAATCTCCGACAACAATGACATTTAAGCCACCAAACACATGCTCATTTCCAGTAACGTCAATCAATCTGCGATTAATCACTGTAAACATTTGATCACCTACCATACTTATTTCATCAATAATTATGGTATGAACATGCTGAAATTTTCTTTGAAGTTGTGAAAGTGCGTAGCTTGAAAGTGATTGGTACTCTATATATTTTTGCACAGGTATTCTTAAAAGACTTTTCAAAATCCTGTAACGTTTGGTGGGATGTCTTGTATTTAAATGCACAACACACTTTGTTGAACGAAGCAGATGCAAGTTTCCAAGTCTATATGCTGCTTCTTGACTGGTCATACGCCGGTGTTTCAATACGCATAAACCAATTCGATGAAGTCTTTGGTACGCTGAAATCTGTTGGTTATCTTTGAAAATATCATTAATAAGACGACCAAGAGCATTTTTAAGTTCATCTGGCTCAGCTTTACAAATGTAAGTGCATACATAGTAAGCAGCTCCCTCGGCATTACTTACTACTTGAATGTCCATGTTGGCTCTCCAATGTTTCAGAATGGAAGGATTATACGCATTAATAAATGCAGACTCTGTTGAACGTTTCGTACAATAAAATGTACCCTTGTTCTTTGATGATGTTTGAATATTATAAACTGCATGAGTAGAAATACATGGCGGCTTTGGAAAACCAAATCTGCATACAGAACGAGGATTTTTCAAACAGTAGTTTGAATGAGAATGACTTTGAAGTTTAATAACTAAATCGTGTAATTCTTCATCTTCAGTTTTGTTTGGTAGATTTGTTTTGACAACTTCATCTATGTATGGCAGAAACAGAGGAAGTGTTTCAGCGTTTAATTCCTTAGGTAGTTCACGTATCCAAAGAAACATATGTATGTGAGGGCTTCCACGGTTCTGAAATTCCACACGTGCAAAATAATCTTCAACTGTACCAAGCGGTTTTGTCCGACCAAGTATTACATGCTTTAACAACATGTTGAAGCGTCTGTCAAAATGTGTTGCTGCAAGCAGAGGATCACTCTGCATAGAATGGCCAAATGAAGCCCTTTTGCATGCGTCTTCAAAGTTGAGATCTTCAATTGTCATACCCAACTCAGGCCAGTGTAAGTCATCTGTTGACAAAGTCATAAAAATTGTTGGTGGGCCTAAATTTCGGAACATAGCTAATAAGTCATACAAAGCATTTTTGAAGTATGCGACAGTTCCTTTTATCTTTTTCATGAACATGTATGAATTTTCCAAAATCTGAGGATTTTGTGATATGGTGCGAACATCACCAGCTGTAACCATGGAGGAGGTGCCTGCAAGAATGAAGACCATGTTGATGTTTCATTTTCAGATTGATGCTTATTTGCTTACCAAGCATCATTTTATCATATGAAACGGCTGTATGAAGTAAATATGTCAAATCTTTACGAAACTTTGGGTTTTTGTTATATAAACGACATTTGAAATACATGGACGGCTGGATTGATTTTAACCGTTGTTGTTTGAAACCATTGTTTCCATTCTGGAATAGCCAAGGAAATGCCATTTCTTCGCCATATTGAATTGCATAAATATCAACAGGTTTTTCAGTGATGGATGGTACATTAATCATTTTGTTGCCAGATTCTGATTCAGGACGGTTCTTCTCATTTACTTGTGAATGTTCACTTTCCATTTGCTGAAAGTTTTTTTCAGCAGCAGATGCTGGTTTACAGTCGAATTCAACGGGGTAACTGTTGCACTGTCCAATGACTCAACCTCATCAATACTGACAGTATTGTCAATATTAGCATCACATAACTGATCTATTATTTCTTCAGATTTGCCAATTTCAATGTCTTTGTATAAATGGTTATTGTACTTCAGCCAGTGAATCGCCTCATATAATCTCTTAGGTGACACTTGAAATGACTGTGAAATTTGTGGACTTTTGTGCAGAAAATGGACGGCAACCAAATTGGAATCTTCCAAAGGATGAGGTATCTGTTCGCTATTCTTTGAATTGGTGATGGTAGATTTAGTACTAATCCCTTTTCAGCATATTTACCGCCTGGGAGAATTGTCACAGTCATAAACACAGATATCATACAAATTAGTTTCTTTTCAATTTGTGTTAACACTTTTAGTGTTGGAGGTGTTTCAGGAACTGCCAGGTTATTTGCTTGATGTGCAATATTTGGCATATCATTTTTGGCAAGATAATGTTCACAAGTACGGCACAAGATAGATCCTTCAATCAATCCAAGGTTTTGAGATTGTGTATTTTCTTTTCTTAAATGTGTTGTCTGATCATAATACAAGAAGCGCTCACAACATTAACATGAATAAGAAGGTTTTTGTCGAATAGACCTTTCATAATCTGCACAATGTGAAGATATATACCAAAAATCTCTGAATGACAGGTTTTCTTCAGTATTCACCTCACAAACACTCGCAAAAGGAATATCATCAGAGACCAAAATATTTTCTGACAAACTTGTGTCATTAATTATTCCTTGTGAAAGTAAGTCATTTGAAGTGGAGAACATGTCAATACCAGGACTAATCAATAACGGAGATTCCTCGTCTCTTGTTTTACGTTTTTTTGTCAGTTTCTTTTTTGTATTTCTTTCTTTCAAAGAATGGTAATTATGATCATGATGAGCTGATTTACTTGGTCTTTTTCTATGTACTGTTTTTTGTCTAGTGCCAGTAACTGTTGTGGAATGTGGTTTACTTGTAACAATGACTGGTGTGAGTTCATATGATGATGATTGATATACTGTTAAGATATAACATAACAGTTCATCCATACTAGTAAACAGAAGTAAAACTGCTTGTCCATTCGGATCAGCCTGACCCAAACCATTCCGCTGATGAGAGTCAAATAATGCATACGAATCAAAATCCGTAAAAATGGCAATGGAGACATCATTAAAAGTTACCAAAAGTGACTGGGATTTCAATATCGCTTGTTGAAAGGATTCTAGGAAATTTGTTTCCCCAGCTTCAATATTTGGAGCACCTGTGACGGGGCCATAAAACTGATCCGTTATGTAGAGAATATCGTTTGAGGCAGTGGCTGCTGGGAGCTGATTGTGACCTAAATACCCCTCATAGCCTTCAGTGTTAACAATGTGACTGTAGAGAGTTCATGCCTTCATGCAACAGATTATCTAGGTCAGTGGAACACGGGACAGACGCAAATAGATTTGATCCCTGGGACACAAAATATATGATAGCGACCAGAGCTACGGCTGTACACTGAATTCCGTTAAACGGTTGAAAAATACTACATCCTTGATGTAAATTGGCCGACACACTACTCACCATTTTGCTTTAACTTTGCTACAGAAGATTTCAAAAGCGGCGATGTGCGGTGCACAGATTAAAAAAAACACGGGGGGCTGGGTTGATTCAAAATACGGAATATAACTATTCTGAATATTTCCAGTGAACATGAGCATCCAAACAATCAAAAGTGTGGTATGTAGAATATGGAATTCAGCCATATTACATATAATTTGAGATCTCGTCGTTTTTCATGAATAAGCATATTTAGAACATATTTTACATTATGCTGTTATTTACGATCTCCGGAGTACAGTTCTTCTTTTGTATACACCGTGAAAATAAAAAAAATAGGCTATGAGGAAAAAAGGACATCGGATTACACATGAATTGTTTAATAATGTCAGCTAATGACCAGTTATTGTCAGATGTATCAATTAACTACAGAAAGAAGATTTTGAAGTATCGCTTATTGCTGGAAAAAATAGCATCAACATTCCACGCACATGATTGGTATGTTTTTTTTCCGTAAATGCGTGGCTTGAAATTTCAAATAAACCAACATGTCGACACACATGCTACAAATTTAACGTTTTCCGTATACTTCCCCGCCTTAAGGGCGGGGAAGAATAAGTGATGAACCTATTTGTTCATCTTCTCCTTTTCTTGAAAAGATATGATCCGAGCATTGTCAATTTGGCTCAGTCTTTTGGGAATACCGCGGGTCGTGTGAGTTAGAGAATGGTGTATTACGACGCAGCACAATTCCGTCTGTTTGTGAATAGTTGCAGTTTGGCCATGTGTACGAGTGATTGATACGCTGTCGAAGCTATAAGAACACAAGGGTACTATTTTGTCAGACCTTGTCCCCAGTTCAATCGACTTTTACAACAAAATTGTATTATTTGGTAAAGTGAGTGCAATAACGACACGACTTTTGTCCAGACATAACAACTTACATACCTTTACGAAAATTTATGTCTATTTTTACAACCAGTGGCCATGTTGTCTTTCAATGTGGATAATATATATTGGATATTTTGTGGCATAGTTCGCAAGTGGGAGAAGATACCCCATTGAGAAATGAAAGAATTAGGAGAAAGTATGATTTGGGTTTGACTGCCTCGGTAAACGTTATACGATATGCACGTTCTGATGTCGACATTCAGACACAGTGTATACCTAATTATTGTCCGTTCATACTATATAAATATTTTTTCACTATGACTGGCACCATTTTAAGATTTGGTTACCCATAGAGATGATAACTGAGAAATCGCCGATTTATATTTTAAAGCGGAATTTTACACGAAACGCTGACTATTTGACCATTTAACCTTAAAGGTGGGCGTTGTTGAAGGTAAAACATGTCAACATTAATCTGACGAAAGTAATCGTTCAAGTGGTAGCATCAAATAAGCAAGTCAATCTTCAACTTGTAGGCTACATCTCAACGAATCAATACTGAATGCTGGTTATAATCTGCCGACGATCTGTCATGTCTTTGTAAGTTCCAGAACTACGCACTTCACTATTTCTGCCAGAACGCTTTAGCGACTGTTACCCGTCACCAAGCATCAACGTGTTACTTCTGAGTAACTATTTTCAAATGTTACCCCTAGGCATGGGGGTGGGAGAATAATTTCCCCAGCCCATTCAAACCTATTACTCTTGCTTCACGATGTCTGATGCCTATTTGTAATATTCCATTCTTCATATTGTTCATGAAATAACCCTTCAGTGCATTTATGCGATTAATTGATGATGACCATCTCTATTGGCCATGACGTCACAGTTATTTTTTTTCTAAAAACACTGGTGTCATTATTCGAACGAAACACGACGAAACTGCCAATTCATCAGCGTTATTCACGAAGAAAAATGTCGGGTGTTTGTGAAAACAAAAATACTGACTCCGAGCCGACGAATCCTTGCGACATTGCGCGTGGTTTAATTTTAGCCATCAATTAACAACAATTGGTATGTTCGTGTGGCAAAATACAATGATTTTTATGAGTGTACTAGAAACTTCCCAAAGAGTCATTTTAAGTTTCCGGGGTAGAATAGGTCTTCAGCAACCCATGCTTGCCGTAAAAGGCGACTAACGGGATCGGGTGGTCAGGCTCGCTGACTTGGTTAATGCATGTCATCGTATCCCAATTGCGTGGATCGATGCTCATGATATTAATCACTGGATTGTCTGGTCCAGAAACGATTATTTTACAGACCGCCGTCATATAGCTGAAATATTGCTG